CGCATGGTGGTGGCAGATCCGGGCAGCCACCGGTGGTTGGGGGGAGGAGGCGGGGAGTTCGCCGGGGGTGAGGGGGGACGACACGGGGTGGGTGGTGGGAATCGCCCGCGGGGGGTGAGGGGGGCGACGACGCGGGTGGGTGGTTTTTTTTTGAGTTCAGGAGCATCCGTCGCCTCCTATGTAGGACTGATCATGATCCAAATAGTTATTTGGATCCAGGGATTAGAATAGTGTTGTCCTATATATATATGATGAGAACATCAATACCAATGTTACACCCACAGCCCCTGCTGTTATACATACTGGACCAATTACTAGAGCTCACGCATGCCAATTAAATTATCAGGTACTTTTGTTTCTTCGTAATGATTCTAATGTTCATGAGAATATGATGCTGCCTAAATTGGATACATTTGTTTTGCTTACAAATGAAGGGCCTGGCACGGATAAGAGGGATGAACACTGGAGCAAGACTAAGCATGGAGATGATGGCATGCGTAAGGGGATCAAGAACGGAGTTACAAGTGATGATTTCAGGACTTTGAAGCCACCATAAGGAGTGCATGAAGCCTTGGATGAAATATACAAGATGCCACTTCATAAATTTCGTCCAGAGGCTATTCTAGGTGCTGCATCACCTTATTATTAGGCCAAGCCCATGTATTTTCGAAGTACTTAAGTATAGGTTATTTTAGAGTCAGTATGTGTGGGGAAACAAGAGTTAGGGTTGATCTCGGACCCCTCCTCCAAGGGCCACGAAATTCCCCCCTCTTCCTCCATATATACAGCCCTTAGGGCGCTGTTTAGACTTTGGGTTTTGTTTAGATTAAAAGTTCGCCATAGCTGCAACTTCGCGTACTTCGTTTGTGTCCAACGACCAGACCAAGACGTCACAGAACCCCACCTTTGATCAATAAAGCTTTCTTCTTATATTCGCAATATCCATATTGCAATGTTAGTTTCTTACTTGTTCTTCGTTTGCCTGCAGGAAATAGACCTTCGTGGTCAGGTTGATCGTGCTCCGGCGTGGTCAATAACCTCTCGGAGTTGGTTTAGCGATTGCTAAGGCGCGACATCCTCACACGTTCGTAGTCGGATCGTCAAAGTCGACTTCCTCCAAAACGATAGCCACTATCTCTTCGAAAGACGGGACACCTTGGCCCCTATCAAGTGGTATCAGATTTCCAGATTGCTCGGTGAGATTTTACAGTTTTTCGTAGTTTAGATCGAGTCTGTTCTTCATACTTACAGTCCACGAAAAAGCCAAAAAAAATTTAGGGTTAGTTCATCATATTTGAACCAGTCTGAGCATTTGCATAGTATTTTCAGTATTTTGCTTTGTTGAATTTGCGGTTGCATCGTCGTGTCTAGTTGCTAGTCTTAGAGTCTAGTCTTTTAGAGTTTCGAGTTCTAGTCATAAGTTGTCATGTCGCCGCCGCACCATCATCATCGTTCCAACCAAATACAACCACCACCAACATATTCCTTACCACTGCCATATACATCCGCCTGTCCACCACCAATCCGAGTCCACATATACATCCGCCTGTCCACCACCAATTCGAGTCCACATATACATCTATTTGTCCACCACTAATCCAAGTCCACATATACATCCGCCTGTCCACCACCAATCCGAGTCCACATATACATCTGCCTGTCCACCACCAACCTGAGTTCTTTTCGTATTAGGTTTGTTTTCGAGATCCATCTAGTTTTCGTTTTGTGTTTCCTTGCCTGAGTAGGTCTCGGAAAAAAAAGTCTCAAGACCCCCGGGCAATTTTTAGGCCAAAATTTCGGCGACCAAAAATATTTTCCCTATCCTATTTTTAGGTCCCACGGAGCATTTTGAGACACTCGCCGTCATAGTGATTTTTTGTCGCATTTTTTTCATCGTCGCTGCCCTGATTTCCGAAAAAAGTCAAAAAAAAATCGTGCCCATCCTGTCAGTTTAACGAGGGAAGAGTTTTGAGACACTCGGCATTATAGTGAAATTTCGCAAAAAAAAGAGGAGCGCAAAAAAAGAGGGGCGCCAAAAAAAAACAGAGCGGATTTTTTTTCTAGAGTGTGCTTTTCCCTTGTTTACGTGCAGCGCCGTGATTATGTTAGTGTTTTAGGCTCGTGTCTCTAGCATGGTCTAGCCTAGGACCAGCACAGTACCGTCGTTGAGCGTTCATACAACATTGCATCTCTAAATTGATTATTGCTGACCATTTTTGCTACCATATTATAAGCCTTCCCAGCTCCACATACATATACGTCATGCGTTTGATTCTCCCTGGTAATCACTCTATCCAAGCTTTGAGAGTTTTGACTACGACGGTTGCCGATCACCGCCTGCTGCTTGGTAAGAACTGTTAAAATTTAAGATTCGCTTGACGGATTTGTGACTGTCCATTACACCACCACCACCACCAGTTCCTAGTAGTCTGTAGGATCATATTCTTGTGTGTTTCTATTGCTGCTAACCATGGCAGGATCACAAGCCATGAGACATATTGGGAGAACATGACGAACAAAGAGCTACATGATAAATTTCAGCAAATGATGAGTGGAAGGTGCAAGATGTGCTAAACAGATTTGAAGAGGCCATGGAGAAGATAGATGGCATGGAAAAGACGTTTGAAACAAAGCTCGATAACAAGTTTAATGAATTGCTCACGCGTCTTTCACCACCACCACCAGATGCACCTAACGCACCTCTACAACAACAACAACAACAACAACAACAACATCGCCTTCCAAATCAAGTGGGACGGGCACTGCGCATTCCCCTTTAGCCTGGTCAAAATTCTGGTGCCGTTGCTGATGCTTATGTAGCTCCTGCTGCTACTGCAGAGGTGGAGGACCATTACGAGGATGAGGTTGATAAAATCAGAACTACGTGCAACCACCAGCACCACCGCCACCAGGTCGTCCTCATGCATATCATTGCAATGGTAGGGCTGCACAACCACCTCAGGTACATGATCATGACCATCTCCCTAAACTGAAATTGAACATTCCACCATTTGAGGGTAGATATGTTCCTGATATATATCTTACTTGGGAGTTAGAAACTGAACAATGATTTACATGTTTACAATATCCTAAGGAGAGACGTGTTCCGACTGTTGTTTGTGCTTTCACTAGCTTTGCATGTGTTTGGTGGTCTGAACATTGTTCATTGGACGATTTGTGGTAGTCTATTTTGATGATATATTGATTTATAGCAAATCTTTGGAGGAACATTTGGAACATTTACATGCTGTTTTTATTGCTCTACATGATGCTCGTTTGTTTGGTAACCTTGGGAAGTGCACCTTCTGCACTGACCCAGTATCTTTTCTTGGCTATGTTGTTACTCCACGGGGAATTGAAGTTGATAAAGCCAACATTGAAGCTATTGAGAGTTGGCCGCATCCCAAAACCATCACAAAAGTGAGGAGTTTTCTTGGCCTCGCTGGTTTCTATAGGCGTTTTGTGAGATATTTCAGCACCATTGCTGCACCGCTCAACGAGCTTACAAAGAAGGGTGTGCCTTTTGTTTGGGGTACCGCACAGGAAGAAGCCTTCATGGTATTGAAAGATAAGTTGACACATGCTCCTTTAATCCAAATTCCAGATTTTAATAAGACTTTTGAGCTTGAATGTGATGCTAGTGGAATTGGATTAGGAGGTGTGTTATTACAAGAAGGCAAACACGTTGCATACTTTTCTGAAAAATTGAGTGGACCTAGTCTGAACTATTCTACTTATGATAAAGAATTATATGCTCTTGTTCAGACCTTAGAAACATGGCAACATTATTTATGGCCCAAGGAATTTGTTATACATTCTGGTCATGAATCTTTGAAACACATTAAATGTCAAGCAAAACTGAACCATAGACTTACTAAATGGGTTGGATTCATTGAGACTTTCCCTTATGTCATTAAACACAAGAAGGGTAAACAAAATGTTATTGATAATGCATTGTCTCGTCGTTATACTATGCTTTCACAACTTGACTTTAAAATATTTGGTTTGGAGACCATCAAAGATCAATATGTGCATGATGCTGAATTTAAAGATGTATTGTAGAATTGTATGGAAGGGACAACTTGGAACAAGTTCGTTCTTAACGATGGATTTGTGTTTCGTGCTAACAAGCTATCCATTCCAGCGAGCTCCGTTCGTCTTTTGTTGTTGCAGGAGGCGCATGGAGGAGGATTAATGGGACACTTTGGCGTCAAGAAGACAGAGTATATACTTGCTACACATTTCTTTTGGCCAAAGATGAGTAAGGATGTTGAGCGTTTTGTTTCTTGCTGCACTACGTGTCAAAAAGCTAAGTCACGACTCAATCCTCATGATTTATATATGCCTTTGCCTATACCTAGTGTTCCTTGGGAGGATATATCTATGGACTTTGTTTTAGGTTTACCTCAAACAAATAAGGGGAGGGATAGCATATTTGTTGTTGTGGATAGGTTCTCGAAAATGGCACACTTTATACCATGTCATAAAAGCGATG